AGTTGTTTAAAATCCAATTGTCCACAGGAAAAAGTCAGCGCTCTCCGGCAACAGCAATGCGGCTTCACTCTGTGAAAGAAGCAGTCGATTCAAAGCACCGCGCCACTCACCCCACGTCGCTCCGGATCTGCAAAACCGGGTTTCCCCGCGAGTAGGGTGCCAGCCGAATTCCATGTCCACAGGCTTCTCCCGCCTGTGGTTTTTGATGGGTCTCCGCCTCGCCGTGGCGGTTCAGACCCTGTTTTCCACGGAGCGGATTCCTCCCAATTGGAGGAAATCCGCCATTGCCAGAGGCGCCAACCTGGAAGTCATTCCTTTGTACTTCTGTTCTCTGAACAGAACTTACTTATAAGAAGAATATCTGAAACTCTATGATTAGATGCTTGGATGGGTTTGTAATCCTTCGAGCTGCATTAATACCAGAGCTTGGGCTGTACGTGCTCAGTTCAGAAATAATAATAATAATAATAATAATAATAATAATAATAATAATATGCACTTAGCAAATGCTGTAGGTGGACACACTATGGAAATTAATGGTATTTGATTTAGAGAATTGGTGTTTCTAATATTGTTTCGCTATTTGTGTGTGTGTAATAAGGAGACTATAGAAAAGGAAGGCAAGCTGGTATGGAAGTAGATGGAAACCATGCTGGCTGGGGCTAATGGAGTCCAACAAATCTGGAGGGATGTTTGTCCCTAGCACTGAACTGCTTTGATTCATAGCAGTTCTGTATGGGCTATGGCAGATAACTTTTATAGCATCTACTTTCTCATCCTGGAAATGCTGGGGACTTTCAGCATGTAAAGCTCATTCTGTACCCTTGAACTCTGGAGGTAACTATCTTTGAGATTCTTCAGATGCCAATTTCTGTGGTAGGTGCTAAAATCTGCATGTACATAAAGTTGACTCACATTGTCATTATCACATACATGATGGTGTATGAAACTGAACATTAAACCACAGAGTCTAGGACTTGCTGATCAGAAGGTGGTTCGAATCCCCGCGACGGGGTGAGCTCCCATTGCTCGGTCCCTGCTCCTGCCAACCTAGCAGTTCGAAAGCATGTCAAAGTGTAAGTAGATAAATAGGTACCGTTCCGGTGGGAAGATAAATGGCGTTTCCATGCGCTGCTCTGGTTCGTCAGAAGCAGCTTAATCATGCTGGCCACATGACCCGGAAGCTGTACGCCGGCTCCCTCGGCCAATAAAGCGAGATGAGCGCCGCAACCCCAGAGTTGGTCACGACTGGACCTAATGGTCAGGGGTCCCTTTACCTTTACCTTTATGCTCCCTGTTGCATGTAAAACATAATCCAAGTTATACATATCTGTTCTGTCAGTACAGCCCCATCCATCCATTTTTGTGGCCTATGGGTTGCACAAATACCTTGAAATAAAAGATGGTAAGGGGAGAATTGTCTTGCCTTTTCCATCAAGAAGTCCAAAATTAAAATAACTGCCCCATATGGCATTATGCACATGGGAAGGTGCTTACCTGAGACTCTTTCCTGGGGCCTGTCATAGCACCTACACATCAAGAACCAGCGCATAAAGTCCATATGGTCCAATGATGTTTAAAATGTTTTCCTTACACAGGTGTAGTCCCATCACCTAGAAGGCCCTTTCCCTTGTACTTAATTATGTGCTCTCTCATAGCGCATTGTCTCTCAGATCAATCTTATTTGCCATTTATTCTTTACTACCATTTGCTTGGTGCTACTAACTAGGAAGCTAATATTCCAATTGTCCAAATGCTGGCCAGTGCTATATACAGCTGGAAGGAAACAGGATAAATGCCCATCAATATCTTATCATATCCAGTTGTCAAAAAGCCATATGTATGCATATGAAATATTATATAGCTGAGGGTGTTCTACTGATCTTTCCCCTCATTTTCAGAATGAAAACAGTATTGCAGTCTCAATATCTAATAACTTGAACTCCTATTTTTGGAATATGGCCTTCCCATTTTCATAAGAAATGTAGGCATGGCTGCTGTGCCAAAAGAGAGAATACATCCCCTTTACCTTTTGTTGACCATGATTGTTTCTCTGTGAATATCTATTGCTGAGCTAACCGAAGAAGAACATCTCGTCATCATGGCAAGGTATTGTGTTTCATATGCAATTTCTATATGTTCGGTATCATTCTTTTTTGACTAATATAGTGCACAATGGTGCAAACAATTATGCTTTTCAGCCCATCCATTAAAACTCAATGCAACATAAATCAGCCACAGAGACTGGATGAATATGGTGTGAATATCTCTTACGTTGATGTGCAGGGAAAGTGGAAATTGCGAATATGATTATGCTACGAGCCTCAAAGGTTGATGCAGCATTTCTCCAGATCTGCAAGCTTCTCAGCTGTACATATCCAAAGATGCATAATTAGGATGGCATCTGAAATAAAACTCTTTGCTGACCCCATGTCAGCTCAAGCAGATGTTCATCACAGTATTGATCCAAAATGATTGGCACTAGAGCAACTATTAGTGAGGAGGTAAGTGCACACATAGCAACTAGCTAAGCTAATGAGACTTGTTTGTGCCCATCTGTGAGCATTGATTGTAAGAAAAATGAAATGAAATGAAAAACACAAGCCACAAAAATTAGGATGACAGCCCAGAACCTATGAATGTTTATTCAGAAGGAAGATCTACTAAATTCAAGTAAATGTGCCTAGGTCTGTAACCATACAGCACCATTCTATGCATGTCTACTCAGATGGAAGCTGCACTGTGTTGAGTGGGGCTTATATTCTCATAAATGAATTTAGGATCCCTGCCATAGCATAGTTAGTTATTTAACTATGGATTCTAGCTTGAAGCCATCATCTCTAATAGGGCAGTTTAACAGCTATTTGGGACAGGAGGCAGGAGAAAATATCCAGTTAAAAATCAAAAGAGAAAAAAAGGGTGGTAGGGAAGTTGAAATGTGACAAAAATCCCTCAGCCAGGCATAAACACGCTGCAATGCTATATTCAACCATTCCTGGCTATGAAAGGCCATGTGACCTCCCACGGGAAAATTCAACCAGCCTGTTTCTTGTGGGGCCCATGTACACAAGGAGCCTAGGCTCTCAGCTCCATGAAGGACCAGACAGATCTACATCTGGACCTCTCAAAGCAAGTAATAGCAAGGAGTGTTCTTCTGAATGTCTTGTTAATAAGGAGTGCTTGCTGTGACTCATGCATCAGAAGTGAAGAGGCAGGGAGGAAATAAAACCCCTTTAAGTAGAGTTGCCATATATTGAAGAGCAAAAAAGAGGACACATTTGCCAACTTCTACTTTTAATTTTGGATCACTATGATGACTCTACCCATGAAAAATACGACGTATTCTGGGAAAAGAGGACATATGGCAACTCCTCCTTTTTCTGCAGCTCTATGTGGAGTAGGTTGCGTTGTATGAGTCAAGTCATCAGTTTTACCTTGTATTGTCTACACTAATAGGCAGTCAGACCAGACCAGCAACTGGCATGGTGGGACAAATGCCAAGGCCCATCATGATCTCCAGAGGCCCCATCATGTTTGACATCATCACCTCTTCAAAGAAACAACTAAGAAATATTTCCTTAAACACACAATTCATGGGGGAGCACCCAGCAGAGAAGGGAAGCATTGCAGAGCAGTTGCAGCAACATCTTTATGACTCCCCAAAGACATCTGAGACTTCTGTGCTCTACTGAGTACAGACATACCTCAGAAATATAGTTTGGTTTCAGACCACTACAACAAAGTGAATTTGGCAATAAAGCGAGTCACACAATTATTATTTTTTTGGAGGGGGGGGCGTTTCCCATTGCATATAAAGTGTTATGTTTACACTTTACTGTAGTCTATTAAGCCAGGCCCCCTGGCTTCAGGGAAGGAAGAGGAAAAACTCAGCTCCAGCCCTAGCCAGCTCCACCCCCATGGCCAGAAGAGGGGCAGTAGTAGTAGGGATTCCTTTCCCTGGAAGCAGCCGGGCCGCCTGCAGCCACACCTATGTCCTCATAAGGACCAATATATGTGAAGCACAATAAAGCCAGGTATGCCTGTACTGGGGCAGCTGGCAGTCAGCACTGTTGGTGATGGATATTGCCATTCAGTCTGATGCTCAGCAGAGCAGAGAGGTCCTGAGAGAGGCAGCTGAAGCAATGGCCAATGTCCTTCTTGGGGGCAGGGAAAAGGCACCAAGTAGGTGTGGTATGTAGCCCCAGATTAAAATCTGGTGTTGCATTGCTGGCAATGACATTCTAGGGTTTAATGCAGGCATATCTCTAAATCCTTAACTAGATTGTGGCTGGAATTAAACATGGGATGTTCTGCATGCAAAGCAAGTGTACAGCCACTGAGCTTAATGCCCTCCGCAGAGTGTACTTTTTGAGGGGAATTACACTTCTCACTGTAGAAGGATGCATTGCATATAGCTAAAGAATATCCTTTTCTTCTCCCCTAACCTGCCCAATGTTTTCCTCTTTTCTTTTTAGGCAGCCTCCCCTTTATTTTCAGTTTCAAACAACTGCAGTAATTCCTGGATCACAGGGGCATGTTATACGGGCCTCTGCCATTCTAAATCAGTATGTAGGCTACAATCAAACATATTATGGTGTGATTCCAGGTGAGTCAGCAGACAATTTAGTAGTAAGCTGTTTGCATATGTATACATATACAAATGGCAAAAGCAGAACACAATGTCAGAAAGCAAGAAAATGCAATCAAGAATTTATATAGTACCATTACCATCCAAGTGGAAAAAGCTCTGCAAAGAAATAGCACCACCCTTGTTTTGTCAGTTACACAGAAATGATACAAGTGGTTAATGCAAATATTATTGGAGAAAATTATAGAACCATTCTTTTCAACTCCCTTTGGTTTTATGTGAAAGAACAATGGCTTTCTCTTCCTCTTTCCCCCCAGTGAACCACTCCTGAATAGAGGGTGGAGGATTTTAATGGCTGCATGTACCCAGGCATTTGACTGAATGGATCTTGCTGCAGACAATTTATCTCAGTGCCGCCTCAACCGCAATTCTCCAAGGAAGCCATAGGTCAGGGGTCTGCAACCTTTAAGACAAAAAGAGCCACTTGGACCCGTTTCCGAAGGAAAAAAAAACTGGGAGCCGCAAAACAAGCCAAATGTAAATAACCACACATTCTTCCCCTTCCCCCATTCTCTCTCTTTTCCCTGGGTCTATTTCAGATAGCAAAGAGGGGTATGGTACCTCTCATATCCATTTTTTGCAAAGCACCATGTGCATAGAGGGCATTATACAAATTAATACATAGAAAAGTGTCTGTCCCTCCCTGCAGTTCAACTCCCTCTCTTTTTACTAACAGCACATATCCATTCCTTCTGCTGGTGCAACTTTCTCATCATTTCTACATAGCAGCATTTATAAACCAGTGCCAGAGAGACTGGGTGAAAGGAAGGTGAGAGGGAAGAGATATGAATATTTATGTGTGTATATGTATGTATACATACATACACCTACACAATTACAGGTTTGAAGCCAACTTAAAATAAAAAGAGCTGGTAAGCAAAGGAATCTGTGGTGCTTTCCATGGGATCCGGGGACATGTCAGCTAATACTTCTTCATTTGCTTGTCTCTGCAGCAAATCTTGAGGGGGAAGGGAGAAGGGCAGGAATTGCATAGGCTTGAGAGAACGGGGGAAATCCCACATGCAGGATTTTGGTGCCTAACAGCCCCCCCCCTCTGCAATTGCTCTCGTGCTCCCCCGCCTCACTCTGAGGCCGAAATGCTGCATCACAGCACCTACTGGCTACCTCTGGACCCCCTCCTCATCACTGACGTAATTCACCCCTTCCTCTCTGACAGGGAGGGCGGGCCCATTTTGTGGTTCACCTCAGGTGCTCTCCCTCAACTCGGCGGCCACTCAAAAACCCCGCCCCGCCATTTCCCTCGAGCGCTCGCGCTCTCTCTCCCTCGCCTCAGGTGAGGCAGAACTTCCCTCCGGCGGCAGCAGCAGCAGTAGCCCTTCTCCGGCCGCCGCCTCCTCCTCCATCCCAGCCGCCGCCGCCTCTCGAGCTCCGCTGCCGCCGCCGCCTTGCTTTGCCCGGCTCGGCTGCCCAGCTCCATCCCCCTCCTCTTCCTGGCGCTTCTGCTTTTCTGTTCAGGGTCCCCGAGGATCTGCGGAGCTGCGGCAAAGGTGTAAAAGAGCCACATGCGGCTCCGGAGCCACGGGTTGCCGACCCCTGCCATAGGTCGTCATTGCTAACAATGGCATCACGAAAGGATGAACGAAGAGCATACCCTCTAACATTATTCAGATGAAAATAGAGATATTTCTCACTCCCCCAACTGACACTCCTTGACCCCCCCCATTCTTTGTTTGTCCCCCCCCCCAGTAGAGCATTTCCTATCAGAAGAAGAGCCAGTGTCACCACAACTACACCAACAGGACACAGCACATATGCCCTCTACTGTCCTGAGAAAACTCATTAATCCCGATTTTATTTTTTTATTCTTCGGTAGATTTACAAAAAGAAAACACACACACCAATAAATACATTTTGGAAAGGGGCAAGATAAGACATGGATGCACAAAGTGTGTGTGTGTGTGTGTGTGTGTGTGTGTGAGAGAGAGAGAGAGAGAGAGAGAGAGAGAGAGAGAGAGAGAGAGAGCTGGCGCATCATGTGGTGTTGGGCCTTGGCAGTGGCAGCCTCTCCTCCTCCTCACCTGCTGCCAGCAGCCACGCAAGGGAGAAGGCTGGCAGTGGTGTCCAAGGAGAGGCCACGGAGAGGCCGCGAGATGCTCCCTCACAACTGCAGCCACAGTCATCGCTCGGGACAAGCACCGGCTCTTTCTCCTCCCAGAGCTTGGCAGCCGTGGCTCTGGTGGGGGAAACAGAGACATTATGGAATCAAATCAGAAGCTAGGATGGCTCTCGTAATTCCAGAACTGTCCCTGGAAAATCGGGACACTTGGAGGGTATGGAAGAGCACATGTAGGGAAGTGTTGGGGTATTTATATATGGTAAACATCATAAACATACGGTATACATCATTTCTAGGAGAATGCCATGCAAAGCCATGGAAGGGGAAGAAGGTGCACACTCACTAATCCTACCCTCTCCATTGCATCCTTGTAGCCTGTCTCCACTGAGTTCCATGCATTGGGGGAGAAAGTATGGAGTGCAGAGCCTGATCTATACATGTGGGCTCCCTGCACAATTTAGAGCCTTGCACTTTCAGGATTATAAACTATGCATGCATACAGAAGGTTCCTTGCTGCACATAGCAGGCCTATGGAGGAGGCAGGGCCAACAAGCACACACATTCCTCAGCCTCATATGTGAATGATTGACTGCCTTAGAATAGACCTACTATAGCCACTCGTTTCTGCACAGAAATACAAAGGGGCTAATCCATATGACTCAGGGCCAAACTACATGTGATAGTTTATAATCCATGTGACTGAACTGACATTTTAAAAGCAACAACTGAAGAAGACCTTGAATTGGATCAGCTGCTCAGAGAGGAGTATTGGCTCTTTCCCTCCAGTACTACAAAACAGGACCTCATCTTATTTTGGGCTTCCCTCTCCCACTGTGTCCTGATCCCCTGGCCTACCTGGCAGCCAGACAGTGTGCCAAGACCAAGTCCAAAATCTGAGGGTCCATCAGCATCCACCAAGTTCAGTCCAAGATCCAAAGTTGAAAGGCCAAAGGTCAGGAGACAAGGTTCAGAGTTAATCCAAATCTGAAGTCAGGATGCAGTGCAGCATCAAGCCCAAAGTCTACACCCATGGAGGTCCAGGAATATCCAAGACAAGGTCCTTAAACATGGACAGCTGAGCATGCATAGCACCTTAGCTCAGCTTCCTTCTTATACTGTACCTGCTGATTGCAGCTTCTGGGCTTGATGAGTCATATGAACCTCACCTACTCTCCACTTCCTCCAACTGAATAATCACATGCCTCCTTCCCCATCTGGCCAGCTAGTGAATTGGGCTGCAGGCCTTGGTCTGCCTCTGCTTCCTGGAGTGCCTCAGCCACTGTTCCCTACACCCCAGAATGGACCATAATCATGGGGACGGGGACCCCTCTGGCTCTGGGTCCTGCTGCTCATGTTCCTGTGTACTGGCTCTCATCCCCTCATCATCCTCTGTCACCGCTTGAGTACTACCTACACTAACCTCTCCTTCCTTATCCCCAGCTTGCCCTTTTTCTAATTCGCCTGGATCCTCTTCCTCCTTTCCGAAATCCTGCCAGTTCATGACACTCTGCTGCTGCAAGCAATGTTGAAAGGGGTAAGGGCAGATGTTGAATGGGAAATGGAGTGTGTGCAGAGGAGGCTAGTCACTTCCCCTGGCACCACAACCCCAATCCAGTTTGTCCCCCTTTGCACCTGATTTGAAATCTTAAAAAAGACCAGATTTCGTGAATAATTTGGCTTTCAACTACCATATAAGGGGGCATTTTTAACCTGTTTTTTCTGGAGAGGCATGGTATAAATGTAACTAAAGCAAAATTAAATAGTAAATATAGGATTTCAGCATGTGATTCTACGTTGTTGTTGCTGCTGCTCTGTTTGCATAATTCTCATCCTTTATCTAATAAGATCAAGGTAAGATACACAGAATGAACCCATTCTGTCTTCACAATACCCCTGTGAGGTAGTCGAAACAAAATAAAAAAAAATCTTCCAGTAGCACCTTAGAGACCAACTAAGTTTGTTATTGGTATGAGCTTTTGTGTGCATGCACACTTCTTCAGATACCGAAAGCTCATACCAATAACAAACTTAGTTGGTCTCTAAGGTGCTACTGGAAGGAATTTTTTTATTTTGTTTCAACTATGGCAGACCAACATGGCTACCTACCTGCACCTGTGAGGTAGGTTAGTTTAAGAGATAGTCTTGAGCCCAAGACTGCCTACTGCAATTTATGGCAAAGCAGGAATTTCAGCGCACGTGTCCCCTTTCTGTTTGTCTTTCATTAATAACACTGAGAATTAACCACAAGTTTCTATTATAGTGACTGATTCCAACCCTGTAACCTCTTGGCCCTGCAGTTGCAAGACCTTTACTTCTGAAACCTCAACATGCCTCTTAGAAATATAATTGTTTGGAGGAGAGGATGTTGCAGAAGAATACTGGTACATTTCTGCAGTTATTTTAATTACTCTGTTCTATGCAGTTGCTGTTATAAAGCAGGATACATATATAGAATTCATCTGAACAGCATAGTGAATGTAAAAAATTGGTAGTATCAGTATTCATGGCAAGTGTGGATGAAGCTGATCTTAATCAGTTCAGTTTTATGCCATATTTCTATGAGTAATAAAATGCCATCGGTCCCTTGTGGGTTATTGTTTCCTCCTTCTAGAAACATGATAAAGCTCCCTTGGGTTCGAAAAGAGCCAAAGGTTTGTCACAGAGACATTTTTATGGCTCATAGATAATTGTGACCTAGTTCTGACCCCCCAGGTTTAATTGCATATAAAAATTAAAAGGCTTACGATAACTAAATTCATGCTAATTTAGGGGTGCAACTGCTTCTGTCGCTCTTGGTGGCAAAACTCAAGTGATCAGGAATGCATCCTTTAAACATCATGATATTAACCTAAACAGGTTGAGTGAATGACTGAATGCCTTCCAAGCTGCCAAGGAATCAGAGGCTCTTCATTTAAAATCAAAACTTGTTTCAACTAAAGTCTGTTATAAATAGATGTAACGTACATCACAGGAAATATTTTGATGGTAGTTACTGATGCAAGCGCACTTGTTCCAGCTCCCAAGAGAGAGTGAAACACATATCATGTTGTTTGTGTCAAACACCTACTCCGCTACCCTGGTCGTCGGTACTGAAACTCCACAAACTGCAGCATTTGTGCTTATTTCAGACCTGGGATGCAGACGTCGACAAGAAAACTAAAGCAATAATAGTTAACAGGCCCTGTGATCTGAAGGTGTGAAGAGAGATCATCGTTAGGATTCAGCATCCTTGGCACTTTCAGGTCCTGCTGCGAGTTCCCATCCAAATCTGCTCCAAAATGAATTAGATGTAAAACTGGATTCATTTCTCAGATGGGCAAACAGAACATAGTTCTAGACTCCAGCTAGGTATGCTGAGCCCCAGTACATATCACTGCTGTCTCTCAGGAGGTTCTAGAGATCACAAGTCAACCATACTGTTCACACCACAAGGCACACTCTCTCCCACTTCACTCTACTTATCGTACATGCAAGCTTCAGGCCCTCCTGTTATTTTTTGGGATCAGGAATAAAACCCTCTGCATGGGGGGACTGGTACAAAAAGGAGATTGTGAATGCAGCAATAATGTGTTTTTCAGACACCACAATCAGGTGGCATCAATGGATTATATCTGGATCAATTACATCTGGCCAACTGTTCCTTTAAGAATTAATGATTACAGAACTGTCTCTACACATCAGGGTTTGGAGGCAGTTATCATGGAGTCCGCTGTGCACATGCACCGTGCAAGGGGGTGAAGCACCATTAATGGCTATAACCTTTTGGTAGTGCTGCTACCCCACTGCTTACAAACCTTTAAACTACTTGGGCATAGAGTAACCCACAGCCTTCAGGCTTTCATCCCAGGAACTGGGAAATGGCCAGCAGATTTCCCCAGTTGATTTTTGGATACAAGAGAAGAACCTTTTGGATTGGCTCACTCAGTTCCTGGTTCTACTCAGGTTTGCCTTTGGCCTCTTCTGAACAGGGAGGAGTACAGTCGTACCTCGGAAGTCGAACAGAATCCGTTCCGGAAGTTCGTTCAACTTCTGAAATGTTTGACTTCCAAAGCGTGGCTTCTGATTGGCTGTAGGAAGCTCCTGCAGCCAATAGGAAGCCGCAGAAGCCCCATCGGACGTTCATCTTCTAAAGAATGTTTGAAAACCCGAACAATCACTTCCAATTTTTGATCGTTCAGGAGCCGGAGCGTTCGACTCCAAAGGTATTTGGGAGCCAAGGTACGACTGTATAAGACAGATGACTTCTTGAGCCACAAGGTCTACCTAAACACACTTCTGTGTCTGGTATTATTCTTTGGTCTTGATTCCCGGTTTGCCCTCTGATCCCAATCACTCTTTGGTTCTAACTCTTACCTTCTTCCATTCCTACCTTTTGAGTTGCTTTGTGATCTGGATTGGTCCTCAGTCCAGACTCCTGGCTCACTCTGGGCGACATCTAACCTCCACTTGTGCTCTGACTCTGCACTGGATTTAGCCAAAGCCTGAACTGAATCAGGCAGAGTTGGGGGAATCTGGGCTTGGGCTGAGTTGGGTTGAGGCAGCTCTGGTTTGCCCTAGATCAGATCAGGCTGACCAGAGCGATCCAAGACAATTGGGGGTGGGTGTCAGGTGGAAAAACTGTATGGCAATGTTTCCCAAAGTGTGGTACACATATCCTTCAGGGGTACATGGAAAGGTTTCAAAGGGTACATGGCAGAATTTGCTCTTGTTTCTATAAAGTAGTACATGTACTGTATTATTAAAACTACCCCCACATTATCCTTGCCCAATAAGGGGTATGCCAGTAAGATGAAACTCTCAACAGTGGCATGTGATTATTGTAAGTTTGGGGTACACTGCTGTAGGGGGTCTGCTTTGCCAGCATGTTTCCTGCACCGGGGAAGTAGACCCCAGCAGGACTGAATCCTCCACTGCCCCACAGGATTGAATCCCCTGCTCACTGGCTGAGGCCCAGATTGGGATAGGTGAGGGGAAAATAAACCTATTTGGATTCACCCTGAAACTCCTCCCCCCGCCTGGGAAGTAAGGAAAGAATACGTTTGCTCACTTAAGCTTCCTGATCAATAGCGAAATCTCTCTCTCTCCACCCCCCCCCCCCAATATTTCACATTCTTGTGCGTAGGCACAAGATGGGCAGTTAAAAAGAGAAAAGTGAATGGCTGGCAACAAACCTAAGTAATTCTTGTGTCAAGACTTTGACAAGCCATTTGTTGGGAAACCTATTTAACTGATTGCAGTCTACATACAGTTAACAGATGTGCCATCCAGGGATATGTCAAGCTCCCTTTCAGCGTTAGCAATTAATGGCAGTCGCTGGTGATGAAATAGTGGGTCTTTTAATCTTGTTTTTAAAGGAGAGAGGACAGTATAATTTCTTTTGTAGAATTTATCCATGTGGTAAAGGGGGGGCAGATCCATGCCATATTTGAATAATTTGGAGGAGGGGAGAGAATTGCTCAAGGAGCTGTATTTTAGTACCTTTTTTCAACCTGCAGATTTGAGAACCTACATCAGAGAGGGGAAACCTTTTCAGTCTGAGGTTCACAGATTCCCTACTCAGCAACATTCTGAGGGTCACATGGCAGGGCAG